CGCATAAAATTTTCAAAAATAAACAAACAAATTTTGTATTTAACTTTATTACCAATTAGGTAGGTACTTATCAGTAATAAGTTATCACTAGTTCGCAATATAAATGTAATTTATGTAACATTATCCTAACCACTCAAACAAAACTGAATCCCCAAATGGCATTGGCAAAGGCATCTTATTGAGACATTTAACAGCCGGGAATTGTTTTCGAATTTTGATTCTTGGTGATTTTGGTTTCATCTAAAACTTAAATTTGACAACTGAATCATATCAGAAGGTCAAAATTATAAAGCAAACATGTCACAAACGTAAATATCGGTTCAGGTTTAGTTTTCGCAAATTTTCTCCAAAATGTCATTTTGAAAAAGTTGTCTTTGCTTAGGTTCCTCTGAAATTAATGGAAGTTTGTTGCTTGTCGCTTGTTCAGAACTATTTAAGGAACAATCTTTCACCATCTTATCTTTTTTATCTCAAAAAGGCTCAGTGTATTGCCTACAAAAAAGCATCAAATGTACTCTTTTGAAAAAAAAAATCATATTTTTGTTGCTAAGATTCCAATTCGAAAAATTTGAAAAACGTTTCAAGGTAAGACATAATACTTCATTATTTCAAAGTAAAAACGAGAAAAAAATATTTATTTTACAAACGGGGCTTGGATGAAATTATTGAAATTTTTCACTGTTTTACATTTCACCCTGTAGTAAATTTACTTGAAAAACCGTGAGCTTCATATCTGTAGCATGGATTACCAGAGAATGGGGCTAGCAGACATCACAAACCAAAATAAAATCGTTCAAGAAACAAAAAAGATATGTCGTTTTGAAAAAGGACGAAATTTTTGGTCGCGACACATTGACTGGTGCGCAGTTTAGATCGACGTACTCTTTTATGTTTCTTTGGAACGGAAAGTAAATTTTAAACAGTGAGAACTGATTCAGCAGTTTTGGAACGAGCCAAAACTATTATAAAGAATGAAATGAAAAATAAGTTTATCTACGACTACTTAAGAATAGTAACATTCTAGTGTAATTTTTGATCATAGAAAGGATGTTTTTCTGCAATACTGTGCGAGAATACTCCTACTCTTGTTTAAGAATGGTCACAAGTAACGACATCTCCTGGCTGTTTAGTAAACGTAAAAAATTTAAAAATATTTAAATATTACTGTATTATTTATTAATTAAAAAATAATAGCAGTTGTATAATTAAGGTTTAGTCACAAAAAAATAGTTATATTCATTGTTTTTCAAATATACAAATCAAAATTATAATAAATTTGATATTAAAATGATAAACCAGTTACCTACTATACCGGCTTTGAAGTTTTGACAGATTCAAAAAGTTTAAAAAAAGACCTTTAAAATGTAGAAGAAGAATAGATGTTGACATAGATTACTTGTAAAATTAGTTTTGTATTTGTTACAATGTTATTTTTTTATTAGTTAGTGTAAATAACTATTTTTAATTATAATAAAGATTTAGGCATACCATTTGTTTAAATTTATTATAATTTACATTATAAAATTGTGACGGCACAAAATGGTTTGACAATACAAAAACTTAAATGTCAAAAACTGCTTGGTTTCTTTTCTCTGTTTAAAATTATATAAGCGTTACTATTCTTACGTAGTCGTAGAGAAAATAATGTCTGAAACACGTTTGGAATAGCATATTCCACTCTCGTAAAACCGTCACACTCGCCTTCGGCTCGTGTGTCAAATTTTTCCTCGAGCGGAATATGCTGTATTCCAAACTTGTTACAGAATGTACTATTCTCCTCTTTGCAACCCCATCCGGGGACATACTGTATTTAAAAATGATGTGCAGTAAAAAATTGTATTTAATCATTTTACATATCGTCGATGCTTTAGCAATAACTGCTATCTGCAAAATTCAAAATTAACATTGCATGTATTGCATTAGGTTTTTTTCGTATAAAATTATAACCATTATAAATTCCCCGCCTAAGAACAGAATTAATAAACTTATTATTTACATTGTTGGGCATAAGTGATTGGCCGATTTTAATATGATCGGGTTTTAAATTGGAAGATGGTGACAATAATATTGAAAATTGATAAAAAGTGAGGTAAACCCTCAGAAATCAGATTTTATTTATTTATTATATAAAAACAACTATTTATTAACTAATTAGAGTAGATAAAGATATAGTATTATAATATTTAATTAGTTTTAGGTAAAGAAAAATTTGATTTACAAAACTCTTTAGATTTTTTTGATTTCCTTCTTCTTTTTCATCCTATAACTTCTTATGAAGCAAAGGGCACATATTAAGCTCTTAATATGTGCCCTTTGCTTAAATAATAATAATAATGGTAAAAAGATGATAGAATTTGTAGCTAGTTCTACTGTTTGAATATCCATATTTAAAGAGGGTGGTATAGCATTCATTTTTTATACTGTACAAAAATATAAACCTAGCAGGTTGCTTATATTTTACTATGCACAATAAAGTCCCTCTTGGTGATCTGGGCTTTTAAATTGACTAAAACTAACCAACCAACACAAACAACCCAACCCAACAAACCAACCAACTAGTTAGCGCTCATTATTTTTACCTAGCATTTATTTAATCTACTGTGCATTTGATATACAATTCCGTAATTTAAAATGGCTAACAAGCAATAGAAAGATGAAGAAAGCGATTACACAATTAATTATAATACATACAGCATAAATGCATCCCTCTTACTCGTTGCATATGGAAAATTAGGGAATTTCCGACACTGTATTTACATAGAGATTATTATTTTTACCCAGCATTTATTTAATCTACTGCCCATTTTATACATTTACATAACGGTCATTATTTCAAACTAGCATTTATTTAGTTTACTGTAGGTACACGTCTTTTATTACTAGGAGATATGCAAAAATTAATCGACACAGAGTGAGAATTATTTACAATAATTAATTTAATACATAGCACATAAATTACTAACGAGAACTAGACCTGCAAACCTAGCATTACTTGGTTTCCTATTCCTGGGCTTGAAGATAAAAATAGTTTAAAAACTATGAAAACATTAAAAATTAAAATTTTGGCCAAAATACATTTTGAAAGTCTACTCCTGAAATGGTTTTTACCAGGCATTGTATATATTTTCTTAGTATGTCTATATTTCTCGTAGCAATGGAACTTTCTAATACTACAATACTACAATGGTAAAAAAGATTATGACCAAAATTATAATTTAAATAATATTTATAAAGTCTTAAAATAATTAATTATATTTTTACAATGAACTGGAAAATAAAAACATAAAAAAAGTTCAAAATTCATTTGCAGTTTACAGTTAAAAATACTCTGTGATTTTATAAAAAAAATTTTAGAGAGAAGAAAGATTGTTTGGTTGTAAATTTTATAAGAGTGTCACAAATACGTAATTTTTCACATTCACCAAGGATATAAAACACAAGTTTGCCTGAATAAGAATGCAGTGCATTATGGTAACGTTATAAAAATGCCCCTTAATTTGTTTTAATTAGGACGTTAAAGAAATGTAATAATAACCAATAATATTTACGGTAATGAAATGAATTAACATTTTCACTATAATGCAAATGCAAATTTTAGAAATATTATGTTGTAGTTTATTAATTACTATTATTACATTGGGTAAGAATTTCCATAAAAAAAACTTACTTTTGTAAATTTTTATATTTGGCAAAAAAATAAATTTTAACTTTTTATATTTATTAACTAAAACAAATAAATAACTGCGAATTAATTTAAATATGCCCAAATAAAACAAAACCTTTGAAATAAATGTATAATAAAATCAGTTTAAATACTAAACTATATAATTATTAACTGTTAAAGATTATTAACTGTTAAAGTTTATAACCCATTTAATTACTAATTCTAAAACATTAAAGTTTTTAAAGCAGCAAAATATATTGCAGTTTTACAAGTTATTTTGATTTAAAGGCAAGTTTTAAAGTTTTAAGACAAAAATAATATCTATTTTAACTACTTACTTGCACATACATTTTCTTAAATTCATTGGTCCAGAGTAAGTACACAAATTTATAAAACAAACTTTAAATCACTTTTATACCTTTCTTACAATATTATTATTAACCTTTGTTTAATGTTTATACATTTCATCGTTGCAATATATTTTTTCACCCACCTTTAAAATACATTATCGTACATGTTTCCATGACAGTGAGTAATCTTTTAAATACATATTGACAAGTTTGGGGCTTTATGGTGTTTTAGTCAGTTAGCAACAGGTTTTTATTTTTATCTCTAAGGCTTTCGCGGTTATTTTCTTTAGAAGTAAAAAGGTTTCCGGGTTTTAAGCCGCGTATCATTGTAATTCGGTTTGACGTTTCGACAGCCATGTTGCTGTCTTTTTCAGAAAACTGAAACTATGAGATTGGATCGGTTCACGTCTTTATATAGGTGTTTTTTTTTGGTCCGCTGGTTGGTGTTCCGGTGAGTGATTTCATGCTTCAGTTGTTGTGTGCTCACCTGTGGTTTCCGGATTATTAGTCCGTGACGTACATAAAGCAGATATAACAAGAAAGAGCACAAGATCATCGGTTGCAGAACACTTGGATACTGGACATTCCATAAAATTTGACCAAACAAGAGTCCTATCTAGGTGTAGTAATTTTTGGCCGAGAATATATAGAGAATCTATAGAGATTCAAAAATTCTCGAACTTCAACAGAGACCAAGGGATCGAACTGGCCCCCATTTGGAAGAACATGTTTCGCAACACCGGTACGTCACGGACTAATAATCCGGAAACCACAGGTGAGCACACAACAACTGGTGCATGAAATCACTCACCGGAACACCAACCAGCGGACCAAAAAAAAAAAACACCTATATAAAGACGTGAACCGATCCAATCTCTTTAATTTCAGTTTTCTGAAGAAGACATCAACATGGCTGTCGAAACGTCAAACCAAATTACAATGACACGCGGCTTAAAACCCGGAAACCTTTTTAATAATATATCAAAATGGCGGCCGAAGTAGATCTAAATTTTCTTGGAGCTACTTTAGCAAGATTAAACAAAGAAGATTTAGTGTCAATTATTCTCAGCAGGCAAGTGGAAATGGAAAGTGTCCCAAAAATGTCTGAAGCAACAGTAGAAAAACTTAAGCAAATGGTCAAGTCACATCTCTTACCCAAAACAACAGAAGTATTATCAATTGAAGAACATAGCAATAAACAAACAGATAAAACCAAAGAGTTATTGGAAAAAATGGTATCACAGCTGGAGAGCAGAATAACTGAACAGAGTAACATTATTAAACATTTCGTGGAGACAAACAAACAACAGCAAAGTGAGGTTAAAAGCACATACAAATCAATTTTGACAAAAAAAGATAAGGCTAAGGTGGAAAACAGTAAAAGTAATGAAGAAATCAATCAATCAAGCAAAAGTTTTAATACACACGGTGACTTAAAAGAACAACAAAATGCTAACTTAAAAGAAATTGAAAAACAGCAGTCTGAGTTGGCACAAAGCATTATTAACTTAACAAAACCCGATCAAAAAACAGAAATATCCCATAAAAAATACACAAAAAGATTTGGAACTGAGAAAGTGGAGGAAAAAAACAAAGAAACTGGGTTTGTTGGAGCCGACAGAAAAGCCTGGTTATACATATATAATGTTAAAAATCATGTAAGCACTGACATGATAAAAAAGTACTTAAAAGATAAATTGCAAATGGACTTAAATTTAATAGAATGTTATAACATAGATGGAGATAGCAATAAACCAAAAAGATTCAAAGTGGGGGCCCCAATGGACAAAAAAGATCAGCTATACCAAAATAGTTTCTGGCCAGAGGGGGTGGGAATAAAAAGATTTCGATTTAATAAAAATTCAGAAAAACCACCAGCAAATTTTTTATAAATAAGAAAATAACATTTAATCAGAAAACAATAACAATTTTACATCAAAATACTCAATCCATCGGTAACGCTCATAACCAACTTCAGGAAATGCTGGAAAATGAAGTGAAATGTGATGTGGTGTGCCTGACGGAAACTTGGAGAACAGAAAATGAAATGAAAACATACAACCTAAAAAATTTCAAGTTATTGTCAGCATTTGGCAGGGAAAGCGGACAGCACGGAGGTGCAGCCATATATGCAAAGTCAAATCTAATAGGGAAAGAAAGAAAAGACGTTAAAATACTATCAAAACCAATGTATATAGAGTGTGCAGCAGCAGAAATTACAATAGAAAAGGTTAAGTATATTGTTGTTTCAGTGTATAGGCCTCCAGGAAATTCAAATATTTTTTTTACTAGATTGGAACAAATTTTAAATCTCTTAAGCATTGAAAATAAAAATATTATATGTGCAGGTGACAATTTAATTCATTAATATTAGAACCAATAAAATGCCAGTATTCCATAGTGACGTATTTTATCACAGCGGCAATATTTTTTATCATCTTGTTTACACGTTACTATGAATTTTGACGTTTTTTTGATTTGACATTTGTTGTCATTTAAATTCTGTTTTTGATATATATCAATAAAATAATGAATTATAAACTCTAAAAGATCGATGGGTTGGTGTAAACGATAATGAAATTAAGGTAAGTTTGAATAAATAAGGTTTATTAAAGTCTTTTTATATTTTAAAGCACATTTTAATTTCAAATGTCAAACTAAAAATTCGTTAAATCCTAAAATTCATTATATTTTCTCACTAAATATAACTCGTGGTATGATTAATTATCGATGATATTTACTCATTAAAACCGAAGCAGCACATTTCACTCGTCCTGCGGACTCGTGAAATCTGCAGCTCGGTTTCAATTCGAAAATATCATCGATGATAATCATACCACTTGTTATATTATGGGTGATTATAACATTGATTTAAAAATAGTTAAATTAAATCAATTTAATTCTAGCAAATCAAAAATATTTAAAACACCTGAAATAAGTAAACTAAATGCATTTCATGTCATTTCAACGGTCGATAAAAAATATAAAACTATTTATGATATTATAAAAAAAGAGTATGATAACCTATTATCAAAAACTAGAAAAAATCACTATTATGAAAAAATTGCGAATGCAGAAAACAAAAACAAATGCATGTGGAATATTTATAATGAATTTGTGGGAAAAAATAAAGATAATAAGGAATGTCAAATCATAGGAGAGGCTGCAGAAGTTGCCAATAAATTTAACAATTTTGTAAACAATATTGCCACAGAGTTAACGTCAGACAATACAATAAAAAATAATTCATACACCAAAATAATAAACAATAAAGAATCAATGTTTTTGGAGCCAGTCTCAATTGATGAAGTAAAAAAGATTGTGAGTGGTTTTAAAAACAAACTAAGTAGCGGCAACGACGACATCCCAATAACCATTATAAAATCTTCACTTATATACACTGTTGAACCAGTAACATGGATTATTAACAATTCATTCAATTTTGGAATTTTTCCAGATATGCTAAAATTGGCATTAATAAAACCTATTCATAAAAAGGATGATCCAGGTATGATAAATAACTACAGACCAATAAGCCTACTGCCCTGTTTCTCGAAAATTTTTGAAACATTAATGTGTAATAGACTCACCTCCTATATGAAATCCCAAAAACTGTTCTCTGAAACACAACATGGGTTCCTTAAAGGGAAAAATATAAATACAGGGATATACCAATTTACACAATCAATATATAATGCAATTGAAAGAAATAATCTTGGACTGGGTATGTTTTTGGATCTATCCAAGGCCTATGATTGCTTAGATTCCAATATTCTAATAAAAAAATTAGAAAGATATGGAATAAGAGGCAAAACCTTGGATTGGTTTAAATCATATTTTAGAAAAAGAACACAGTTAGTGGAAATAAAAAAGGATGGTGGGTCATATAAGTCAGATACTTTACAAACAAAACTAGGAGTTCCACAGGGCAGTGTTATTGGTCCTGTGTTATTTTTTATTTATATAAATGACTTGACAAGCATTACAAAAGGAACTGACTTCTTCATAACAAACTACGCAGACGATACAAACCTTCTGACATTTGATAGATATTACCCAGAATTATTAGCAAAGAGTGGTAAATTATTTTCAATGGTTCAAAAATGGATCACTGAAAACAATCTCATTCTTAATGCAGAAAAAACCAATATAATACTTTTTAAATCCAACCACTGGTCTCTTGAAACGCCCAAAGACTTAAAACTAAATAAACAAAAAATTCAATATAAGTCAAATTCAAAATTTTTGGGTATATACATTGATGAAAATCTGTCATGGAACCAACATATAGAATATCTGACAAACAGACTGGGATCTGTAACGCATTGCATAAGAGTGTTTTCAAAATATATGAACCAGGAGGCATTGAAAATAATCTACCACGCAAATTTTATATCTATAATGAGATATGGAATAATCTTCTGGGGTTCAAATGTATCTGGTCTTGAAAAAATTTTTGTCATGCAGAAGAGAGTAATACGAGTATTGTTCAAAAAAACTTTTAAACAGTCATGCAGGGGTCTGTTTCGAGAACATAACTTTCTCACTGCCAGCGCCTTACACATATACGAATGCCTTATGTTCTGGTGGGACAATAAACATTTATTCTTAAATTATAAACCAAATCATAACTTTGATACAAGAACGGTAGATTATAACTACCCCCGCCATAAGAAAACGTCAACTGAAAATAGTGTGCTGTATAAATGTATTAAATATTATAATAAACTGCCTAGAGATATAAAAATTTTAAATAATAGAAATAAATTTAAAAAAGAAATTTTTCACTTTCTAATAAAACTGGAGCCTTACACAGTAAATGATTTTATACAATATACAAAATAATTTTAAGAAACTTTATATTGATTTTTGAGCTTGACGTTTTTTATATTATATTTCTTTGTATCTTTCCTTATACTATGTAGATGTTTTATAAAATAAATAAATATTATTATTATTATATTATTACTTCTAACAGGTTTTTAGTCACGGGCTAAAGTTAGTTTTAAGTTGAGTTGAAAGTTGTCAAATGTCATACAATCGTTAAAATAATAATGTGGAAACTATTTTATTATCTTAATACAAAATTAAAAATATTAAGTAGTTTTTCAAAGCCATACCTTGTAACGATACACATTACTAACCTTTTAATTTTGTCGACAGTAAACTAGATTTAACTAAAAGCATTAAAAATTTCTGGTGGAGACTCTACCGTGAAGTGCCCATAAAATATTCACTGTGAAAAACTTCTTCTATATCAGTATTTAAACGGTTGTCCATTTTCAAGGGATACATTTCAATTTACACATACAGATTTAACATTTTTACTGAGGCGCCGGTAATACAGATTCCAAAGTTAGAGAATGTTATGTCGGTCTATACAAATATTTAAATTAAATAATTTTTATTAAGTATTTGTCGTAAAAAAAGTATAGCATGAAATTCGTTTATAAACTTTTCTAGACACTCGTTTAATTAAACATTCGCTCACAAGCTCGCTCGTGCCTTATTACAATTCGTGACTAAAATGGCGTTTAATAAACTTGGTACATAATATACTATTTTTATTTATAATATTTATAATTTTAATTTTATTCAAGCCACGGTCTATTTGGTAGGTAAAATTAAGTCAAGCTATTTGCTAAATATTTTTTTCTAAATCCAATCATAAAAATTATATTGGGAGAATTGGGGACATAAAAAATCAAATACCATAAAATATAGCAATTAAATAAAAGTTATACATATAAAGCCATAATAATAATATTCACAAAATACTATTTTTAGGTATTTACATAAGCATTATTATTCTATTTTTGTTTAATTCCCACTAAAGGGATTTTTACCTATGAACTTTTACATTGACGAGCTGTGACTTCATGGCGTTTTATTTACGGGTTGAAGTTGTCTTTATTATAAATTGGGAAAAAGTAAGGCTAAATTCGGATGACAGTTAACAGATTTCAAATTTTTAACAAATAAAATTGGCTTTAAATTATGTTTTGTGTTCGTCGTAGATTTAACACTCGCTCGCAAGATTTGCTTATGCCTAATATATATAAAACTTGATACATAATATACTAAGAGGCACTGCGTTAAATTTATTTACATCATATTTAAGTAACCGTAAACAAATAGTAAAAGTAGCATTAGATAATGGGTTGGAGTTTACTTCTAATACTGTGGATTTAAAAAAAGGAGTTCCTCAGGGTTCAATTCTTGGTCCTGTCCTCTTTATATTGTATGTCAATGATTTGCCTCAATTTATTAAAAACATTTTTATGTATGCAGCTGCAATTTATACATCTCTCACAATAAATGATTTAATAACAACTATTTGTTCAACACAAGAAAATATATTCCAGTGGTTTCAAAACAATGGCCTAAGTTAAATGTGGACAAGACACAGTTTATAAAATTCGGAGAGTATGGGTTTGCCGAAAATATAACTAATATTAATATTAAATATTCAGTTGAATTAAATCATTGAGTTAAATTTTTAGGTATTATCTTGGACAAAAAATTTTCATGGAAGAATTAAACAGCCAATGTTTTAAAAAGAATTGACAAGTATCATTACTTATTACTTCATTTAAGGTTTGTTGTTCTAAGATCAGTTTTATTCAATGTTTATTATGCCTTTATCTATTCAAATCTAAAATATGGCATAATTTTCTGGGGCAATTAATCTCATACAAAGAATTTATTTGTTTTTCAGAAAAGAATTGTAAGGTGTATTTTTAATTTGGAATTGAACGAATCATGTAAACAAACATTTATAAAGAACAATTTACTTACATTGCCAGATATTTATATATTTAAAACGCTACTTTTCTACAAAAAAAATTCTCTTTTTAGTAACACTAGTAGAGAACATTCGTACTCTACTAGAACAAAGATAATAGTATATTATATATCAAGTTGCAGTCACAAGCTGAAGTTATTATAAATTGTAAAAAAGTAAGGTTAAAATTGCCAAACCTAGTTCTACTGCTTGATTAACCATATTTTTGCTAAAGGCCATCCCCCCTGAAGAAACAGAGACGTTTTTTCAGATCAAAGAAGAAGAAGAAGAACTATATTTTTATTTTGCCTTTCTTGTTAAATAATACTAAATACTAAATACTAAATGAGAAGAAGAAGAAGACTAGATGACGGTCGCGTATTTTTATATTGCCAAAAAACAAGTGAAAATAGTGACTATTGTAAAATAAATGACTTATCTGGACTGTGCAACAATAATAGTAGTGCATTGACATTAAATAAACCATATACTGTAGTGAAATTAAGTGCATTTACAACATAACCTCAAAACAAACCATGAGTTGCCCCAAATGTAATAATAAGTT